ATAACCCTTGTAGTGTCCATGTTTGTTTACATCACAATAACCCTTGTAGTGTCCATGTTTGTTTACATCACAATAACCCTTGTAGTGTCCATGTTTGTTTACATCACAATAACCCTTGTAGTGTCCATGTTTGTTTACATCACAATAACCCTTGTAGTGTCCATGTTTGTTTACATCACAATAACCCTTGTAGATCAGACTCATAACAGAGAAACACTGACTTTAGACTTTAAAGACTTAAATCAATGTTTTGTCACATTTTCAGTAAAAAGAGTTTTAATGAGAAACAGAATAGTTTCTTTAAGAAGAAAATCTAAACTCAGTAGAAAGAAAGTAAATATGAACTAAAACAGAGAATGATGAAATGATGTGTTGTTGCCGGGCAGATTGTTGGAGTCCATCCAGAAGCTCCGGAAGGTTCTGCAGAGCTCCGCCCACTGGCTGCTCCTATTGGACAAGAGCCAGTACCACCACGACCAATCAAAGCCTTTCCTGCTCACGGTGAGCTTTGAGCTGAGAGTTAAATAGGATAAAACTATTTAAATGAAATGTTGAATAAATGTTGTGTTTCAGGACGACGTGATGTCGGCGCAGGACGCGCTGCCGCAGAAGACCAAGATAACGCTGAGCGAGGAGCCCAGGTGAGGGGCGAGGCTTAAGAGAGGGGGATGGGCATACGTGCAAAGAGGGTGGGGCATATGGTGAGGGGAGGGACTTAAAGGGGGGAGGAGGGGCATATGTTCAAAGGGGGTGGGGCATATGGGGAGAGGCGGGGCTTATATAGAGGCAGTATCTGTTATTATTCCAATAATACAAATGTTTTTATGTTTAAATTATTTAATTGACTAAAGTCATTTTGAGTCTCTTTATTGATAATTACTATTTTAATTAATCTTTTAATGTCCAATCATACTTTGAAGTGTTTTGAAAGATTTGTATTATTTATTTATTTTACTAATAAATACAAATAGTTTTTGTATTTGATTATTTTTTATTTCCTGTTTCATTAATAAATAACAACGTCTGATAATTATTACATTTTAAACGTTAAAGATAAATCTTCAGTTGCCGTGTGTTCTGCAGTACATATGTTGTTATGCTAAGCTAACTAATGCTATGTGGTTTAATATTTTCAGGTGTGTTGTTGTTTACTAAAGATGTTTATTTACTCCTGTCTCTTCTTCAGGATATTGATCGTCTATAACCCGACGGAGCAGATCCGATCATCCGTCGTTAGCGTCGTCGTCGACTCTCCGGACGCTCGAGTCATCGACGCAGAAACTGGTCGACCAATGGCTGCGCAGATCTCTGCGGTGTGGGCGGAGCCAAGCCGGGCGTCCACAGACAGCTTTCAGGTGTTTACACAACCATATTATTGACCTGATGATAGATATCAATAAGTGTTAATAGCAATATATATTGTGTGTTCCTGCAGCTGGACTTCCTGTCTGAACTCCCTCCTCTCTCATTGGTCGTGTACCATGTGACCCGATCCTCTTCTGGCTCCGCCCCCCGGGCTCGATACACCTTCCATCGCCGCGGCAACCCTCCGACCATTCACAGCGAGCACTTCCAGATGTCCCGCCCCCAGGGCCCCGAGGCCGACGCCCCCCTGTCGCTTAGCAACAAGCACGTCCAAATATGGAGCTCCCCGGAAACAGGCCTGATGCAGGTCGGATTTTCAAAATAAAAGCCTCTCAGATATTTAATCAGAGACATGTTTTATTTCATCCTTTGTTCAAATTCATCTGATGATCCAAAGACGGATCTTTATAGAGAGGTGCAGGAATGAGTTCTGAAGGAAGTGAGTCAGCATTTCAGCACTTCCTGTTCCCTGGTCTCAGAGCCAATGGGATCTCTCCATAGGATTTAGGAAGATAGCTGAAATAAGGTCTGTGGTTGAGACACATTGAAGAGACAGATCACGTTTTGTTCTAGGACATTAAATCCATCAGCAGTGACCCCACTGGTGATTTCTGAAGCGTGTACGTGTCTGAAAAACGATGGTTGTTACCAAGTGGCTGAATAGGACTACAGAAGTCGTGGAGGCCGTTGTACGTCATTACGCCGAAGACGTAAACACTCCTCTAAGTTAGTTTCTGTTCTGCTTGAGAGCAAGTACCTGCCTCCTGCAGACTGTTCAAACAAACGCTTCAACTCGTTCCATCTAGAATCTGTGTGTTTGAATATGGATCTGAAGTTGGCGTGACGTTGAAGTCGTGCTGCTGGACTCGACTGTAGCTCCTTTATAGCATCACGTTAGCATGTAGTGTCTGGCCATTAGATTTATGATTAGAACATTATGAAAGTAGACATTTGGAGATTATCCTGAACAAAACGTGCATTTATCAAACAGGTTCGTTTCCCACGGATCTTATTTTTTAAAATATTCCTAAATCCTCTGGAGACATCATGTAGCTTGTTGTCTAGGGAACAGCAGCTTCCTGCAGGGTAAACCCGTCCTCCCTGCTCCGCTCTATAGTGAAGAAATTATATTTGTGTTTTTCGTTGTTTTATGTTTCATCCTTAGCATCATCATCATCATTATTTCCATCTGTATGTTTGTTGCGGTTCAGAAGCTGCGTCTGCGCGCGGGCTCTGAGCGCCGGGTCCAGGTCCACTTCCTGTGGTACGGAACCAGAACCGGAGCCAACCGGGACAAGAGCGGAGCGTACCTGTTCCTGCCGGGAGAGGAGGGGGCCCAGGTGAGGAGAACCAGAACCTGGAGAGTATTCTCCCCCCCCCCCTCAGGTGTACAGGTTAACTG